ACTGATGTTGTTGGTGTACATTGGCCATTTGAGATAGGAAATGTTGTGGGAAAGCTTGCCGGCTGAGTTCATTCTCGCTACCAAGTTCGGACTGTGCCCGGCTGAGCGACTGCTGCGAGAGCCGACCAAAAAGGTTGTGTCCCAGTAATCTCTCTGGAAAATCAGATAACGATCGTCCTGAATCCTGGCCCCACTCCACCGTATCCATTAATTTGAGGGTTTCAGTTAATGCCCATATATAGTTATGGGCAAATCGTAACGTTTCTATTTTAGTCAGTTTGCCTTCTTCAGGATAGTTTGGCAGTACCTCCCGCAAACAGTCCAGCGCATCGTTTAAGTGGTGCATCCGGGACCTTTCTCGGTCGTTCGCTTTTAGACGCCTGGTTTTTTTCAGTTTCATTACGAGCGCAGGATTTCGGTTCCTTACTCGGGATTTCGTGTAGCGTTTCTTTTTCGGTGATATTCCATTTTTTTCCAATGTGGAACGTTTTCTCTTGGTGATGTTTGTAGAAACTCTGTCACCTGTCGTCATAGAAACAATTGGCGATGGAGTTGTCTGTAAATTCCGAGAACGGCATCTTTCGGAAGATGTGTCGTTGTTTACAACAGAGTTCACGACTGGAGAATAAGTATTTACTACAACTGGCGACAATGGAAGAGGAGATTTAGAAAAGTCTTCATTGTCCGGTGTCGCACATTGATAAAATGAGGTAGGGAAAGGAGAGCAGGACGGCGAGGAGACAGGCGAGAGTGAAGACATAGAAGATGGACTATCCAGAGCCGTACTCATCACGGGCATAGTTTCGATGTCAAATCCAAACTCAGTTGCGATAGGCGACAACGACGAGTGGCTGGACAATGGAGAAAGAACCTCGCTCAAATTTGAATTTACGTCAGTGGCGTTCTTGTTGGAGTTTGAGATCGGGCTAGTTGGGAGAATCAACCTACCGGCAGGGAATTCCTTTTTGATGTTGTTAACGTTCATTAAGAGAGAAGACTGAGCGATGTCTCCAGGACCCATCTCGCTTGTATGCGGAACGAGCAGCGTTTGATAATGATTTGCCGGCTGCTGCTGCTTTTTATAGCTGCTCGCTGGTCAATGTTCATTCATGACGTCACGCAGGTGACAATAAGCCCCCTCTTCCTCTGTCCCTTTCTGATTCGAGGTGTCGCGTAAAAGACATGATGGCTGGTACTACGCCACGTGGAAATTAAAGGAGGAAGGAGGCGTGAAGTTGAGGCGAGCTGAGTTGTGGAAAATGCAAAGCGGGTTTGCTAGAAGTACAGATAGATAAGATACTGTAAGATAAATAATAGAAATGGAAGTGATTGACATAGATAGATAGATAGATAGATAGATAGATAGATAGATAGATAGATAGATAGATAGATTTGAACAGATATATATTTGATATCAGATAAAGAAAAATAAATATGATAACAGATCAGGATAGACATCAACACACACACACACACACACACACACACACACACACACACACACACACACACACACGTGTGTATGTTTGTGTGTGTTTCTTGATAAAGTTCCTAACAGGACGAAACGCGTCGGCTAAGTTAAGTTTCTCTCTCTCTCTCTCTCTCTCTCTCTATATATATATATATATATATATATATATATATATAAAGAGAGAGAGAGATTTGAACAGCTGAACTGTGATAGATATATTATATATCGGATTGAGAAAAGTAAAAGACGATAACAGATCAAATTCGGTATTGAAAATATATATATATATATATATATATATATATATATTTATTTATTTATTTAATAGATAGATAGATAGATAGATAGATAGATAGATAGATAGGCAGACAGACAGACAGTGTGATATGAAATAAACACTAAAATAAAAAGGATAATCAAGAATTAAAAACTTTCAGAATGAAAAGTGTTAATAGAAAAACGAATGATCTAAGAAAGAAAGAATTAAGTAGAAAAAAAAACAAAAGAATGAAAATCAATCAATTTTTTGCAATTACACATGCGCGCAGACGCATACATAAGAACACACAAGTGGCCCCTGAATGTAAGAGGAAGCCTAGTAAAATATAGAATAGAAATAACTATTTCGATTTTAAAATGTATTATTTTTAGTTTTTCATGCATCCGTTTTTGTTGTTGATTTTCTTAACTCAAAGATCAGGTCGTTTTTAACATGCTACGATCGTTCGGCAACAGGAAGTTGCTATAAGGAATAAAAAAAAAAAATAAGTAAAACTTCACTCCATCATAAAAAAGAAAATGATAATATTTTATTTTAGAAAACTAAAATTAATATTTATATTTGATATAAAAACAAAGATGTTGGTTTGTCGCCATACAATGCGATATTACAAATCTACACCTGTGCTAAACATACAGCTCTGCTGAAATTGGTTCCGACTGTGTGCCCTGCTGTTGGATCAAACATCCGAAATGGAGAAAATTTGCTCGTTTTTAGAATAAAAGAAAAGCATTTTCACAAGACGTTTGGAGGAAAAAAAGTGGAAGGAAAACTGTATTACGGCAGCAATTTACTGGCTAAGAAGAAAATCATAAGGTGACATTTAGATTGTACGTAAATACGGATTAATGGTGCCAGAGACAATTTTGCAACTACCTCAACCACTAAGGTACATATCGGCTGTAGTGGTGTTTATTATATGTTTATTGACTTCTTTGGCATAATTTTGTTTGAATGTATGTGTGTGTGTGTGTGTGAGAGAGAGAGAGAGAGAGAGAGAGAGAGAGAGAAAGAAGGATAGCAAGAGAGTAGACAGGTGAAATTGGAATCGTGTTTTAAATTTACATGCATCTGTTGTAAAATTAAAAGGAAAAAGAAAAATGGTGACGGAAAAGAAAGAAAGAAAGAAAGAAAGAAAGAAATTATTTATTATTCGAAATATTTCAAATCTTGTTTTATTAAGATTTCGTCGGGAAAATAAATACGACTTCGGGGAAAATAATGCATCAAAGCAGGAAAAGAAACAATAAAATTCAATGCAAACAACATTACAAAACTACATGTGTGTGTGTGTGTGTGTGTGTGTGTGTGTGTGTGTGTGTGTGTGTGTGTGTGTGTGTGTGTGTACCTCTGTGTGTATGTATGTATATATCAAATCAATAAACAAATTATACAGAAAATCATGTTGTTTGAATCGTCAAAGAAATCTAATAACAAATTCGTATGTTCAGTCAACAGTGTGAGAAAAGAAGTACAAAAGAAGTACTAACAAAACTGTGGAATAAACGAAAGAAAGAAAGAAAAGAAAAGGTTCAGGTTGGACGAACAGGCACCAGGCTGGGGTTTGGGGAGCCTAGAGTAGAAAAAATCGTATAAGGAAAGAAAGAAGTGGAAGGAGGTACGAGTCGCGTGCCAATCGCTGGTCCGTACTAGACTTAACAAGTCGGTGGTATGCCTGCCTCGCGACAATTGAAAAGCAGTTGTAAAGAAGTGTGCCACAAAGTGCTATAAAGTTGCTGGGCAGGCGACAAATCAGCAGACGTCATCATTCATAAACAGACACACCTCCTTCCATTCCAATTTCAACGCTTGATTTCTATTAGTTGAAATCTGGTTGTCTCCCACTTTCATCATACGTCATGATATACGTTGTTGATATCCTTTTCTTTTTGAGTCAAAGTCAGTTATTTGTATTTCTAATATTTAATAATATAAATTTAATAAATACTGTCGCGTAAAAGCCCTTTTGTCTTATTCCCTTTGTATTTAAAAATCTTATGTGAAATTCTAAGCTAGTTAATTAATTTAACACATTTTTTTTTTAATTTGAAGTAAATAAACTTTACTTTTTCTTCAATATTTTTTTTACAAAAGTTCTCCTCATATAAAGCCCAATAATCACTTTATATAGAAGGATGTTTTGTTTTTTTAGCAGCATATCAACCCCCTATCGGTCATTTAATACCGAAATTTAATTTTCTTGGGAACTTTGTAAACTTTTCTTTTTTTTTTTTTTTTTTTTTTTTTTTACAAAACTATATTATAGGTAATTCTTTTTTGTTTACCAAAACTGTATTGGTATTTTTGTTACTATAAAAATATATTCATACTTTCATAGTGTTTTGAGCCTAGTTTTGGTATTTAACTGTTTACCCATAGTTGGGACCCTAACAGGTGCTAACACCTTGATTCAGGGTAGACCTGAGAACAACAGCAATTAAGAGGTGGTTCCACGGACCGCAAAACCTTTCGATCAGAGACCTTGCTGCTGGATGTAGTTTATCGTCATACCCAGGATGATAGAGGCTTGCTGAATATGCTGTGTGATATGAACGTTAGAGGAGAAAATATGAAATGAATATTATGAGGATATGGTGGATAGATAACAGATCGACCCTCGACTTGATTGTAGTTTGGGGAAACATCAACGTGGGTATCTGATGCACAAGGTACCTGTTCTTAGAAAGAGTTTTTAATGAGTGGAACGCCCTTTTTACTAATGAGATACGCGGAGAATGAGGTTCCTTCAACTCTGTGATCGTTGCAAGGCGTTCTTATGGTTGTATAAAGGTCTGAGCTAGTGGCACTAAAATGGATGGAGCACGTTTGAAATTTTGCTCAAGTTATGTAAACAAAAAATTTGCCCAAGTTATGTAAACATAAAAAATAAATAAGAATATTTCTGTTGTTTCCACATATGCAACTTTGCAAACCTATCTCTAATTTCATAAGTGGAAACAACAGAAATATTCTTATTTATTTTTTATGTTTACATAACTTGGACATTCAGGGTTTTAGACATAAATCGACTGAAAATTCAAAGATTATTATTATTTTTTTTTAATTTTTTGTTATTGTTTTAAAGAAAGGTTCACACTCTACAAGGCCCAAGGTTCACTCGAGGCAGAGGGTTACAGAGTAAGGGGCTCAATTTATGCGGATAGGTGGGGAATATAATGTTTAACCCTAGACTTGAACAGGTTAAGATTGTAGTGGCAATTTTCTAAGCGTAGCTTAGATGTGGCACAAGGCCGAAAGTATGGGGCACCCAGTGAGAATTGAACTCACTACTCAGTTGTAATTGTTCTGGCGAGACAAGCTTGCTAACGATTACACGCCGAGAGACGGGTTTGTTTGTTTAACGGCATATCAACTGCTTATGGGTCATTTAATGATGGAATTTAATTTTCTTGGGAGCGTTGGTCATTTCATTTGAAAAAATGTATTGCTGGTAACTTTTTTCCAAAAAAGTATTGCTGGTACTTTTACTATAAAAATTTATTCTAATACTTTCATAGTGATTTGACCCCAGTTTGAGAGCTAAATATTTGCCCATAGTTGGGACCCTAACAGGTACTACCACCCCAGGCCAGGGTAGACCTGAGAACAACAGCAATTAACAGGTAGTCTCACGCTCCTCAAAACCTCCCGATCGGTAGCCTTGCTACCGGATCTAGTTATACCCAGGACGGACACCACATCGCGGTTCCGTAGGCTAAGATTGAGATAAGATAAGATTTCATAGATATTGCCCTGTTTGGGGATCAAAATCCATTTAAACGATCAACATGTGTTTGAGCCTTCTTACCACAAAATGAATGTCAGACCTTGCAGGTACTCTAACAAATGATAATACTTTAGTAATATTAGCCGTATCCTTATAAGGAAACATTCGGCAGTCAATTCTACTGACTAGCTGATATTAGTAAAAGATTTCTATTAAAACAATTTTCAGTAAAATAGATTTCATAAGTCACTATCGTTCTTTCCAGTATTGATGAGAGCGTCCTTCCCAACCTTTTGTTTGAAATAGTATGGAGCATCAACATCTTGCCGTCCTGGGTAAGACGATAAATTATATCCACGTCCAGGGTAAGATGATAAACTACGTCCTACATCAAGGCCGCTGTCTGTGAACCACCTCTTAATTGCTGGTGTTCCCAGGTCCACCCTGACTCGGGGTAGTAGCACCTGTTAGGATCCCAGCTATGGGTAAACAGTTAACCCCGAAACTGAGGTAAAAAGCATTATGAAGATATAAAGATAGGTTTTAATACCAGAAATACTCTGTAAAAAATATTATTACGAGAAATAAATTTTTGAAGAAAAAAATTATTACCAGCAATACGTTTTTGAAAATATTACCTGCTATACAATTTTGAGGAAAAATATATTACCAGAAATAGATTTTTGACAAAACAAAAATATTACCAGAAAAAAAAAAGTCGGCATTAGATGACCCATGAAGGTTGATATGCCATAAACCTAGCCAAACCTAACCAAACATTAACATCTTGAATATGACATTATTATCTTTATGTGCTATGCTTTTTGGTTGTTACTCTTGTTTAATCTCATCAAGTAATGTAGTTTCTGTAATTTGGTTCTTGGTAAATTCTGTTCTTAGTGCTTTTGTAGCACCAGTTCATGTGGTTTGAATGATGATCATCTCAGTTCTACTGAGTTCATTCGCGCGTTTGCAATATA